TTTGACCCGAGCAAGCACTCGGTTATTCGGATCGAAGATCGGGGCACAATGATCTCCCAAGCCGACCCAACCAAAATCAAGGAGGCCGATGGTCTTCGGTCGGGCTCTCACACTTAGAGGATGGTCTGGCCATCGGATCAGTAGCGCTCAGGTATCCGAATGAGCAAAACATCACGTCGGGACCATAAAGTAAGAAGGAGGCGCGAGGAATCCCTGGACGCATCGACATTTTTGGCGGCTAAGATCCTGGGGTGTGCACGAGTAGGATCGAGTGTGGTTGATGGTCTGACAACAGTCGAAACGGAGGCCAACCATGCTATTGTTAACTATTAATCTTGGTTGGGTTAGGATTTTGTTCTTTCTTTACCAATTTTTATATAGATTTAAGACTTCTTGCTTATAATTATGAAGGTGCAGTGAATCCTAACGTCAGCTGCATTCTTTAATCGTTTGCTCGACAATATAGACTGTCAATTCTTGCTCTGATGGAGTCGTACTTTTTTGGTGATAAAGCATATCGCATCATTGGCCACCTTGGTACGAATTTTTCTCATTAGATGGAAGCCTATGGTTGATGTGGAACAGAGCTTAAATAGGAGGAAGGAATTAAAAAGAAGTAAGGTTGGGGGGCTGGGTTACAGCATACGAACAAGGCCCTCGTACCACGCCTAAAGGCCCAAGCCCAGCATTGACTAGAGCGCCAGGGGTGAGGTAGCCCGAAGCGGGTAGCCTAGTGAAAGGAATATGGGTCTCTCAGCTGGTTCTGACCCGACGGCCTCGATCACGGCTTTAAAACTTAATAAATGATAAAATAGTATTTTATGAATTAATAGATATGTATAATTAATTAAGATTGCTAATGGAGCCTGAAACTGATGTATTTATTGGTCTGTTTCTGTTTGATATATTTTACAGCTTTGAATACAGTATAGTATCCGATTATTTATTCTGTGGTTCCGTATGCATGAATAACTGTTTGATCTATTATAGTTTGAGTTATTGTGAACCCGATGTTGTGTTGTCTTGTTTTGTGTGTGTTGCTGGTTTACGTATTTATGTTGATTGGGTAATTGAGACTAAAAAAAAATAGGGATGGTATGTGAATTTATAAGTGGATAAGTCGGCAGTCTCACTAGATATCCTGGGAGATGGTTGACGGAATGGGTCCATAGGGAACCCTACCGGGAACGTGGTCTCTCATATAGGACGGGGTATGGAGACTTTATGTGTTTTGACACCCATACCGGATGGGGTATGGGGACGACCCGTTTCACCCTCATACCGGACGGAGTATTAAGGTTTATGATTTTGGCGCCCATACCGGACGGGGTATGGAGACG